AGAAAAAAAAAATGGACTTGACTTAAGCCAATTATAGTTTACCTACTGGCTGAGTAAGCACAAAACCAACTTGCAACTTCTCTACCAAGCTTCCCAGGAGGCTTTGCCTCTCTTCAAGATGAAGTCAAGTGCAAAGTCAAGGTGTGATGTCTCCAAACCCCCAACCTTCAACAACTACAACTCACCAGATCCAGCCAACAAGCCACACCCACTGCTGACCACTGGGGAAGGCGGTACCCTGCAAACTGCCCCCAAAAATGTGGCATTAACTATGCTTGCTTTACCTAACTTGGTAGACATTGTCCACGTGTGTAATGTAAGCAGTTGGCAGATCTGTGCCCATGTAGTCACAGAGGGGTCTTTTTTTTTTTCATTCTAAGTCTACATCTTATTTGAAGAAATATTTTTCTTGTAGATTTAGCTTAGTTGTGCTAGAGATTCTGTCTGTGTGTCTGTCTGTCTGTCTGTTAGGGACTAGACCTGAGAAAGAGCCAGACATACACCTTTAGTCCAGATGAGAAAGCCTGATCCTATTCTCTGGTTTGGTTGTGGGGATAAGTCATGTGGTAAAATCGGGAATTGTTCAATCCAGTACAAGTTCTGAGTTGCTTGTTTTTCCTCATTCCCAATTTCCCATAAGTCAATTTCCCTACTAAGACTGGTATATTATTCCAAGATTAAAAAGTTTTCCAAAATAGAAGCGTTTTCTTCTCCTGGCTTTGAACCTAATGGCGAAGTTAGTTGCAATATTTTTAAAGACGTGAACGTTGCATTTGTGCGTCAGTCTGGGTCTAGCGTGCTCATCCCCTGACCCCACCGCAGGGACACTCAATCAGTTCTATGGACAGCCACATGTTTTATAAGCCACAGAAACTAGCTTCGTGGCAAGGTTCTCATCCCGCTTCCCCACTGCACTTCCACTGCCTAGGATGACACCTCACTCGGAAAGGGTGCACCGTGTGGATTTGATAACTAGTCACTTCCTCGGCGTAGGCTGTTCCTTCACTCAGCCAAGCTGTGTGGGGTGTTAGAGCAGTAACAGCTGGGGTTCCCTTCCAGCTCCACAGTCTAAGATGGTGCAAAATATATAAAGGGGAGAAAGTCCCCTGGACATCGTGCCAGCTCTGATTCCATGTTCTGCCTGAGCTTGCCACCAAGTCTTAAAGGTCTGAGCCCCGACCCGACCCGACCCCCGCCCCACCTGCCTAGGCAGGTGGCCATGTACTGTGACAGATGAAGACAGAACTCAGTAACAGGGGCCGACAGTAACATGTGGTGCTCTCTCAGCAGAAAGATAGCTTGATCATGTGTCTCACCGTTTCCCACCACCAAAAAGAAAACTGAATAGTGAATAAAACTGTTTCTCTTGGTGACGGGATACGGTGAGATGCCAACTGCCTAGAAAAGGGACAGATGGACAGAGAGCTGGACAAGATACTAAGCACATGGCCCTGTGTCTGGAGTCCTTTTATGTTTAAATTAAATTATAATTATTCGCTTTTAATTATTACTTTAATATTTTAATTATTAATTATTAATTTTCTGTCTTTCCTTTCTTCCCTCCAGCTTTCCCATGTACCAATCATTTGTTTGCTCTCAAATTCATGGCCTCCTTTTCAATTGCTGTTACATAGATTTTTTTTATGTGTGTATATGTGTATATACATCATATATATACATACATACATATATATACATATATATATAATTTCTTAGTTGCCCATAATTCTAATTCTTTATCTAGGGTTGGAGACCCATGAGATTGCCTCCTTCCATGCTGCCATGTCTGTCAGTGTTGTCCCTGTTCAGATCCTGCTTAGGCAGCCATGTTTTGAGACTCCATGAGTGAAGCTTCCTTGACATTTCTAGGAAGCACCATCCCACAGCAGACTTTTCTGTTCCTCTGGCTCTCAGAATCTTTCCACTCCCTCTTCCGCTGTGTTCCCTGCACCTTGGGTACAGGACTTCTCAATCTGGAGACAACAGTCGTTTCCCAAGCTTCAGGCCCAATGTCTTTAACAGCCTCGACTGGCCCTTGCCATCAGTCTGTAGAGTCAAAACAAGCTCCCTAAAGACATGGGCACCTCTGACTGCATCCAGTGTTGCATGACTAAGTCCTCCTAGGACAGTCCCTAAACTATGAATCTGAATACCTCATTTCCAGAACGTTAGCCTGGAACACGTGTGCCGCCTTTCAGTTTGTGTGTATCTTTCAAGCACGGCACGGTCACCTCCACTCATCAACGGCAGAAATGCAAGCAACTGGAATTCTCACTTATATTCTGCAGCTAACCAAGCCACCAACTCAGCTGTCCCCCAGGGACCCTTCTCCGTCCTTGTCACCAAACAGTCTGAAGCTGCGGGGAACAAGCAGTGTGGCCCACAGGTGAAGGAGAACCTGAGTCAAGGAGTTCTATCCCAGAGTCACCACACACATGCAGTCTGACCTACAAGAGACCAGCAAAATCTTGGAGACGATTTTCTCCCCTGAGGAATGGAGGCAACACACGTTGACAGGGATGGTGAGATGCTGTGTATAAAACACCTTGCTGCTCTTACCACTTGTCCATATAGTTGCCATACAAATATATCATATTGTACGTCATACAGTGTGTAGCTACATCAGAGCCTATAGTAAGCTCCCTTTTAGCCTGTCATGCTAAAAAAAATAAATAAATAAATAAAAGTATCGCAAACATAACAATAACAAAGACTGCTATGAAAAAAAAGTGGGAAAGGGGCAACTGAGAGACATTATGAGATGCTTCACTGGCGTCATTATTTCCTTTAATCTAACCACACTGTATGAGTGCGGCAGTCGCCTCTCTACAGCCCCCGTTAGTCTTCTAGGTACCTCACACTATCTATACTTGAGCTATCCCACCTGGTGTCAGTCATTAACGTGGCCAAGACTACCAGCGGGGCAAGTTGTCCTGAGATCAGCGTCACCAGATCAGTGTTGTACTATTAACAAAGCCTGTCCTGATGACTGGCCAGGGCATGCGAAGTGGGATGAAAGAGAAGGTTATCACACAGTTCCTGATGGTGCCTGGCATACCCCATCAGTCACCCTTCCAAGCTGTCAATTAAGTAAAGCCTTTTTGCTATAGCTACCAGAAGATCAAGGGACCTTGCCGTATTATCACCCAGGGATTGCATCTAAAACCCCTTCGTAGATTTCACTTAACTGTCAAACTTACATTGTCAGGTCATGAGTTGCAAATCTGCTGTGCAGTTTGTGGGTAAGTGGAGTCTGAGAGTCGAATAAAAGGAGCTGGGCCCTTTCTTGGTTAGTTAAAGCATGTCTTTATAGACTGAGAACTTCAAGCACTTATTTCACTCTCAAAGTTTTTTTTTTTTTAAAAAGTATGAAAACCTACACCCTGAGCGATAACTTAAGACGGAATGTGTAAACAGACTGTCGTTTAAAGCAGGGGCACACGACATGTGCTGGCCAGATCTGCCTTAGAGGCAAACTCAGCAAGGGACCTCACTCCAGTCATTAGGATCAGTGTTCCCATGAACTCTACTTAAGACTGTCAGTTCAAGTTCATTGCCCTGAGGACTCTCTGACTGTTTGTTTCAAGGGTACAAACTTGGATTTTGCTGTTATTATAAATGGACAGGGAAAAAAGTCTCCTCAGAGATACTGAGATCGGCCTCATTATACATGCTAAGAACAACAAACTTTTTTTAGTCTCTCTCTCTCTGTCTCTCTGTCTGTCTCCTCTCTCTCTCTCTCTCTCTCTCTCTCTCTCTCTCTCTCTCACACACACACACACACACACCAGAGGGGGTGGGATCTGAGTGTAGGATGAATTCCCAGGCCATAGCAACTGCAATGTCTTGAAATGGAAGCAGTAGATCTTGGCTGGCCAGGCAGTAAGTCCTTTAGGAGAAGGAGACAAGAGGCCTGCCTTCCCTCACACAGCCCAACCATGAAAACAGACTCTTTTTTGTTTTTGTTTGGTTTTTAGCTAACAACCTTCATCCTCCCTGCAGGGATAAAAGGCATGGCTGGTTTATGATGGCTCAAGGGTTTGAATTCAAATTATCTTCCACCTAATTCCCCACTTGGCCCTAGTGGTCGGGATAAAGGGACAGTCCCGGCAAGTTTTGGATAAGGGATGATGTCAGGGTTTAGTCAAAGTGATGGAGGACTATGCTCAGGGCACGCCCCAGCTTTGGGCGCTGAGGGAGCCCGCATCATCCTGCGTGGTGACATGCCTAAACACAGAAAAGGAGAAATAAGGATGGAGAAAATTAATCCTTCTTTATGTAGCTCTTTCCCCCTCCCCCTCTACTGGAGAGCCAGAGCGCCGGTTGGCTCTGAGCCGGTGCTTTGGAGGCGCCTGCGAATGGGTCTCTGGGTCCCTTGTTTTCTCCTCTTTTTTGGCGTGCAGAAACCAGGACCCATCCGAGCCAAGACGAGGAGAGAATCAAGGAGGCTAGAGCAAGGGGCGGCCTGCTCCCTACTCCGGAATGCCCGGCGCGCGGAAGCACGCAGCGGTTGCTCGTGTCCGGAGCGCACCGGTCCGCTGTCTCCACTGCGGTAGCATCCGGACGTGACATTGCAGCAGCGACAAAGCGGCGGCCACAACCGGCCACTGGCAACTGACATGGCTCGGGCCTTGCACCACGCGGAGGGGCTGGCAGCGGATGACACTGGGGTGAGGCTGTGTTGGGGTGCGAGGTAGGCCGAGTCCCGGGCAAAAGCCCTGAAATGCGCAGGACTCCGGGGCGGCCACCCCTCGCGCTTCCTCCAAGCAGCCAGATTGCAAAAAAAAATAATTCGCTAGCACTCCCCAGCCATAGCTCGCCCTCTATCCCCCTCAAAATGATCTAGTATGAGTCCCCCTCTGTCTGGCCATTTCCTTATAACCTTCCAACCCAGCTGGTCCCACCGCGCGCCCCAGGCGCTACGGGCCCGGGGACCCGCCCCGCTCCCGTACATCGGCTTGAATGCAACCGCCACCCTAGGGTTCCTTCGGATCGCTCACCAGGAGAAGGGAGCCGGCGACCATCGTGGTTCCGACTTGGCCGGTGATGCGGCTGCCAGAGGCGAGGGCGGTGGTGCTGCTTGCCGAGGTCCCCATGGCCGAGCCTGGGGCTCGCAGGGGCGCCCGGAGCGCGCGGCCCCACGGCAGCTGGAATCGGTGGCTGTTTCTGCCCAGCGCCGCATCCACCGCCGCCTCCCGGGCGGGGAGCCCATCTACCTCCAGCAGCCCATGTGCACTGCAGCAGCCGGGCGGCCGGGCGGAAGAGGGAGGCGGCAGGGGAGGCTCGGGAAGGCGCTCAGCACCTGCCCAGGGGCGCGGGCGCCCGGGCGGGGAGAAGCAGGCGCGCTTGGAACCCGCGCCTCCCGGTGCTCTCCAGCGACAGCGGCTGCGGAGAACCAGGGAGCAGGGCTGACGGAGACACACGACTTCCCATAGCGAAACCTCCAGTCACTACCAGCTACTCGCCTCCTCCGCTGCCCAGACCGGCCGGCGAGGGACTGAGTCGGGTGGCCACTCAGCTCGGGGACACACGTGGTGGCGCCGAAGGGGCGGAGAACCGGCCCTTTGTGATGTCACCCGGGAGGAGGCCGGGCTCTTTGTGCAGATGGAGAGCTCAAGGCGTTCCAGATACCAAGGGGAAGGAAAGGGTGCCCCTTGGCGTTAGCTGGAGGAATTGCGTTTTCTTGCTAGCCTGGGAGTACAGTAAACATCCCTTAACTTTTTCTTTTTTTTGTAAAATGATTCCAAGTAAAATTTATGTAAAGCAGAGATTATTTTCTTTTTCTAACACAAGTATTAACAACAACCAATATACCTTGAGCATTATGGCGCTCGCCTGTATGTTCATCGCTAGGAAAGCTGAGACAGGAGAATTTGGAGTTGGAGGAAAGGAATTCCTGTCTCATGAATGTATACATACATGCACTTATGAATGAATGAATGAGTACATGAATGAATGAATTAACTGAGCATAATGGTGCCATTAAGTACTCTGGAAGCTGAGGCATGAAACTCTCCAGTTCCAGGCCAGTCAAAGCTAGGGTTCCACACAAACCTGGCTTACAGAGCAAAAACATGTCTCAAAAATTAATAATTAATTAACCAAACAAGCAAGGAATAAACAACCATGGAGTTTACGTCAACTGTCAGACACGGAAAGTCTTGTATGTTGATTGCCAAAGTCTGCTGTGTTCTGGTGTCTCCCGGGGTCTCACTGGGTCAAAAGGAAAGCAAGCTTTGTATCAGCATTGATCTGTGGCTCTTTCTACTTTCTGACTGCACATACAATGTAACGAGCTGCGGAGGCTCCACTCCCACAGTAACTGTATCCCCTGAAACCGTCACAAACCTCTCCTCTCCCCTGCTTTTGCTGTGTATTGGATCTCATCAATGGGAAAACTAGAACAGAGACACAACACTAAACAGCCGGCATAGGGTCCTGTTTACTTCCTTATCGGCCAGTACATTGACCGTTCATTCTTTTTCTCAGCATCCTTTGGTAGATAAAAATGTTTTTAAAAATTAATTTGAGGACTAATTCCAATCTCATCTTTCAAACATCTGCCAGTAAAGAAAAGGATTGTTCATAAACGCTGAAGGGAAAAGCTGCAGTATAAAGTCTACGGTAAAATCAAAGTGGTTCTGAAAAATACTATCGTTAGGTACAGAATTTGGGGAAGCAGGGTGTGTGTGAGGGGGTGATATTTCAATTTGAAATTCTCAAGCTGTCTCCAAAACTTCCCAAAGTGAGGGGTGTTTACTATGTCTCCATCCATGCCAGGGCTAATTAATTCTGAAAAAATTCAAATCATTGACCACTACTATTGTAGGTCTTTTGTCTAAAGGAAAAGGACATGAGCTATTAAAGGAGGCAGTCAGTTACTCCCTTACACCCAAAGGTGAGTTCCTCGAGGTAACATGACTCATTCCTCTGAGCTGGGGGAGTTTCATTTGGGTAACTGCAGCTCGGACCTGCTCATTCCCTTTGTTCTTAGCACTACATTTACGGTCCATTAGGTCCCTATGGGGCATTAGTCACCTGAACTCAAATTTTTACACACCTTTTGGGTTGGGTTGGGTTGGGTTGGTTGGTTGGTTTTTGTTTGTTTTGGACTAGGTCTAGCTGTGTAGCTCAGGTTAGCCTCCAGTACATGATCATCCTGCATCAGCATCCCACCAAGTACTAGAATTACAGGCATGCAACCTCTATGCCTCTTGTTGGGGAAAAAAAATCAGTTGTTCTTACTTACTGCTAATTAAGTAAATGTTCCTTGGTATCAGTGATAAACCAATAAAGGATCAATTGAATCTAGGTAGAATAATAAAATTTCATTTCTCTATTGTATGTTTAAAAAAGAGAAATGTCTTTCATTTCAGATTGTAAAATGCTTTAATCACTGACAACTTCACAGCCACATATCCAATATGGCCATACAGATGTCTTTATTTACTCATAAATGGTGAATACTCAACCATAAATAATGGATTTTCTGCCGAAGCTTCAAAGAAAGAAGAGATAAGTATTATTAATAAAGCATGATTATAGCTAAAACTGAAAAATGTAAGTGAGGACAAAAGGAATAAGCCCAATCCGATCATTGCCATAAAATAACTTCCTTTGACCTCTGGCCTGATTTGAACTTTTCATACTTCTTCCAGTACTGTGCAAATCTCCTGTTTTCCCAGCCTTGAACTCATCGTCACTCGAATTTCCCATTTCCTTAGTATATTTCTAATCAATGAATTTTCTATGCTTCCATCTTTTTCCTTTTCTAGTGGAAAGTCCCCATGTACTGAAGGAAGCACCAGGCTTTCCATCCTCTCCTGGTTCTGTCGTATTTCTAAACTCTGTCGTGCTTCCCTTTGGAAGTGTGGACTGGAGAGATGGCCCCACAGTTGAGAGCACTTGCTGTGGGGCTGTGAAGGGGGAGATGGGAAAAGCAGGACCAGGACTTTAACGGGGAGAGGGGAAAGGAGGGTATGAGAGGGAGAGGAGAGCGAGGGATAAATAAGAATAAGTGTGTTCGGAAAAGCCATAGGGAAGTGTTATTTCATGATTACTTAAAAATGTATGCAATGGATACATGGCTAAGTGGTTAAAAGTACTGACTACTCTTGTAGAGGACCGAGGTTCATTCCCCAGCACCCACATGGAAACTCACAATTGCCTGTAACTCCAGTTCCAAGGGATATGATGACATCTTCTAACTTCCTCAGGCATCAGACACACATGTACTACACATGCAGGCAAAACATTCATACACATATAGTAAGTCTTTAAGGGAATACATGCATAATAGATATAAACATAACTGCATGTGTGTACATATATATATATATATATGTGTGTGTGTGTGTGTGTGGTTTCAATGGAGTTACACCACTTAGGGTGATAACGCTCCCCACAAGAACAATAGACTATCTAACAAAATACTGAGTGCCAGGCATGAAAAACTTCCTTCTGAGTGGTTTGTCAGAGGCCAAGAGAATTCTTCAGCTGCCCTTTGCTGCCTCCCAAAACTTGAAGGTAATATGGCTGAAGACACCACACACTTTAGACACGGGACTTGAAGGAATCAAATTGAAACTGACCTGGAAGCCTCCACTCTGAGGACTGGGTCTCATAGTCGAAAGGGAGAAAAGCCACAGCTGTCTCTTAACTCCAGTTCCTCTGATGCCCTCTGCTGGCCTCTTTGGGCACCAGGCATGCATGTGGTGCACAGATATACAAGCAGGCAAAACACCTA